GAAAGAGGAGGTAACCCTAGCCCTCACCTGTGATTCCGCCCATTTACCCGAGATCTGACAATCGTACAGATCGGGGCGATTTCCTCTCGTTTTTGAAGGAAATGGGGCGAAGAAAAAATGCCGATGTAGAGGGGATTTCCGCGGCTGGAGGGACGAGGGGGAGAAGCGAACCAAAGACGAGAAACGAAAACCCTAGAAAGGGTTTTGTCGATGTGGAGCGGGTGTCAGGAGGAGAAAAGTGTTTCTTCGGTTCAAAACAGCGAACCAAACACGCCCTAAAAGTAAAAGTGAAGCATAGATACAGGAGTACCAAACTGTATAATCTTCAATGTGGGGCCCTCTATATCATGTTTGCCCTTCTATTCATAACCATATACGTCCCCATATGGTGGAGAAAATGTCTCAATCTATGTTGGTCAGTAAAACCGAAATCAAACGGGTAATATAGCTCCACGTGTCTCCACTCACATTTGACGCTTCTGGATAGTTTCCTGTAAAATTGATAAAAAACTAAGGTCAAAGTTGGGAACTCGCCCCCAGCGGTTCCGTCGCCTCGCCCGCCTCTATAAATGGCTTCTCCCCACCCGGCATTTATCCAGATCTAGGGTTTTCTTTTCACCTTTTTGATTTCTCTCTCGCTTGTTTCTTCGATCGCCATCATGCCTCGCCGTAGCTCAGGTACTAAAACCGTCTGCTTTCTCTCTTTACTTGTAATCGATTGTTGTTTTAATTCAGCATCTCTTTGAAAAAGATTGGATCTTGGCGAACTTATTTTATTTTTAGACTTTTGCCCTAGCTTAAAATGGTGCCTAGGTTTTTTTTTTCGGGGAGAGATTGAGTCTGGGCTGAGTTTTGCTTAGGGTGAAGACGACGTAGAGAGCATTGAGGATGAAGTCCTTGGAGAAGTAGCGAGTAATTATCGATTAGGATCTCTAGAATCTAGCTAAAAGCTAATGACTCTTTTTTAGTGAACGTAGTTGAAAGAGATTAACTGGAGTCGTTATCCTCTACCTACTACATAGTTGAAAGAGATTTTATAGTTATTTTATACTCACGGCAAGATTATGTTTTAGCTATTTATGAAAGGTTTATCTACTCCTCTATACGCATAGGAGGGACTAAAAATTTACTGTTCATGCTACAGTAAATTTACTGTGGCATTATTACTTTAGTGCAAACATGATACTGTAGCATTTAAAATTAATGCAGCGGTTACAAAAAAACTGTGGTATTTAAAAAGAATTATAGCAGAAACGAAAAAAGGGGGACCATGCTTTGCACAGGGTACACACTAGTGTTTATTAATGTGGGAAGATTGAGATGGGAACATAGTTTTTTTTCATCTAAAGGAGGGGAATTGGAAGCTGTCAACTGCTGAAATGGTTTTAGGATTACTGAGGAATATGAATAAGTGGAGGGAGTTGGATTACTAAGAAGTGAGGATTTCAAAATGTGAAGCCATTTTATTGTTTGAAGTATTAATTGGTGATGGTAATCTCGCCTCTCCTGTGCCTGCAAAATAAAGCATCCAGTAGAGACAAAATAAATTGCTGTGAAGCAGAAATGTGTTCTTTTTTCTAAAATGGTCTCCTAAAATGTAATTGTGCTCATAAATTCTTATAGCATTTTGGATGTAGTATACATAAGTTATAAAGAATTTTTGAGGTTTGAACTGTTATCTGCTCATCGTATCCAACATGTTATCCAAGGAAACAAATGTCCAAGGGGAGTAAAGTCTTCAATTGAGAGTGAATTCAGATTTTTTTTGGTAATAAAATTGTTTGTGTTCACAAGGGTTTTGGATTGACGTGGATTACATTTACTTGCTTTCTGTTTAGCTAACTTGGCAATAGAGTATATATTGACTGTCGATGAAGAGTTTAGTACAAGCCAATGGCCCAACAATAGTTGAGTTTAACAATAGTCTTAACATATTTTCACTGTCTTGTTGGTTGCTTATTACACTTGTTAGTTAACCAGAACATTGACACTTTCCTTCTGGTAGTCTGATTCTAGGGTAAAGTGCAACATTTGATGATGCATGTTCATTTCAAAATTAGAGTTTAAGCAAATGCAAATTTACGTATTTCCAGCTTTATTCAGGATTTATCTATTTGCTAACAAATATATGGGTATGATAGCAGCTAATTGTCTATTTACAATACAGTTCTAAAAGTTTCATTGTTTTAACAATTCAAAATATCACACCTTAATGTAATTGGACATCTTATTGTTTATTATAAAGTTTATTGTAATGTATATTATGCGATAGCTTATGTGATATCTTAATATTCATAAGGTAGGATTGCTAAGCGCCTGTGTGTAAAAGTGAAGTAAATATCTCTACCATTGTGTATGAGGAACAAATTTAATGATAGGTGTTTTGATTGATAGAAATGATGTAAAACCCATATGGGTACCCGTACAGGTATGCGAAACTGCAAATTTGTAAAAGGTAGGGAACGTGGACATGGCTAAATAAATATTTGTATACGCATATTATATATTAGAATTAATATTTTATATGAGATGAAAGATGAGAATTAAATTTCCTATAACATTTTTATGTTTCTTTTAGTATGTGAATTATAAATTAAAAAAGCACTAGCATCTAGACTAATAAAAATACCCTTCAAATCATAATCTAGAACTTGACCTATGTCAAACAAGTCTTGAGAAGTGTAGTGGCGAAGCCAGGATTTTTTTCAAGGGCGGGGTAGAATACAACCTTCTATTTTTTTGGGTGCAATAAGAGTTATATCCATATGCATTCAAATCCAAAAAGGAGAAAACCTTTGCTAGAGCACAAATTGGGGAGGATTATGTAATATTAGACTTGAATCTACTAATTATAAACCTGATTTTGGTGGATTATTTCATTGTTAATTTTAGTTGATTTGATTTGATGATCATCTGTCCATGATTAACCACTACCCAACTGTGGTTAGCTGTATGGATAGTAAATATAAGATACAGACTACTTTTAAAAAACTTCAAATATTTGGGGCACTAATTTCAAAATATGAAGATTTGGGGCACTAATCTCAAACATGAAAGATTTGGGGGACTATTTGTATTTTTTTTAACGTATACTAACGATGTTCTCACTTGTCATGCACAGATACCCAATGCTTTTGTGGACTAGTATAATCCTTCATTTCTATGAGATAATATTTCTAGCCTCCATGATCTTTTGTAGAAAACCTAATATAACACATCATGTTCAATGAATGGTAAGGTATTCACTTATCCAACTCTTTGGTGTTCAACATGAAGTTAAGCAAATTGCAAGAAGTTATTAAGATGAAAATAGAAGTCAAGTTGCACTATCTCATTGAGTCCAAAGGCTTTGCATCAAACTGACCAAAATCACACATTCAGCTGATTTCTACCTAAGATTGGAACAACCTGGTCTACTTATAAACTGAAAGTATATGACTAAAGTAATCATAATCACAACAGACTTGGTTCTTGCTTTCAATTCAAGGAGGGAAAAGCAATTAAATCAAATTTGAGGGGACTAATGTGGAGACAACCTATATATATATGCTATGTTTGTAAAAACCTAAGGGGGGCTATGGCCACCCCTGCCCCCTAGCTTCGCCAGTGAAGAAGTGGATGTGAAGTGTAGAATATATGTCCAAAAAATATATGACAAGCGTTGTAAATTAAAACATGTAGCGATTTTTGAGTACATGCCCGAATAAATGTATGCATATATGCAAAGTGTGCCTAGGAGTTTGGGTATAAGTACGTGTACGTGTTAAGGGGTATAGGTACACCTTCAAATTAGAAGTACCCATGTAATAGAGGCTGTACTAATGTACTAATGTGGATGACAGAACAAATTTAATATATTATTGTCATTTTTTAGTTAGATTATAACATCCCTAGTGAGGTGAAACTGATCTTTTGGCCAAGGTTTTTCACATTTGACTGGTTTGAATGGTTGAACTCTTTTACTCTAATCCTTGGTTTATTTCTTAAATCTTTGTTTTTCTAATAGTTGTTTCTTTATATAAATATGTTTCAGAATTCTGTTCTATGCTGCTTGAAATTTTATATTACATCTATTGTAAAAACTGGGTGATCTTTTTGTGCTAATGCATATTTTTTATTATGGTTTTTCTTCTTTTTTTGGTACTGATTTTAAATCAACTTTACAGGACGTTCAGCCCCTCGTGCTGCTCCACGAGCTGCTCCTATGAGAAACCCTCCTCAACCAGGTAAATTTTCTTCCTTTAAATCTCTATTTATGAGAACTAGTATAATTCTTCCTTTAAATCTCTATTTATGAGAACTAGTGTAATTCACGTGAAAGTACATGTTTCAAGTTTTGGATTTTTTATTGAATAGTATTACTGTGTTAATAAATAAAATTGTATAATAAAATTACTCAAAAAGAAATGTACAAATTAATTATTATTGTGTAGTTATTGTAATTGAATGTTTTTCTTATAATGATCACCCAATGTTAGCCTTTTTTAGGCAAGTTCCCAAATCTAAAAAATTGTTCTTAAATAAAATTGTCAATTCTATAAGTTCTCTTAAATATGCCCCTAAGTTGAAAGTTATTAACTAAGCTACATTAATATTGCTAGCTTTTTCCTGATGTTCCCTAGATAGTTACACTTTAATACTTGCAACATGTTACAATAGTTACTTCTCAATATAATTATTTAATAGTGTAAACTACACTGAACCCTTAAGAACTTTCAACCTATATGAACTTTGAAAATTACATTAAAGCCCTAATTACTTTTCTTTTTCAAAGAATACCCTTAATAACTTTTAAATTTTGCAAATAACTCCTATACATTAGAACTAAAAAATAGCATAAAAAGGCATTTTGAAAGTTATTAGGGGCTTAGTGCAATTTATCCAAAAGATATTGAGAGTTTTCTACAAAAGTTATTAGGGGTCTAGTGTAATTTCGAAAGTTCATATAGTCTATTTATTGCAAAATGCTGAAAGTTCATAGGGGTTTACTGTAATTCATCTTATTTAATATTATTATTCTAAGTTCAAGTAATATTATTAAAATAATTATACTTTCTATATACTATAAAATATTTATCTAATTTAATTTTTTAATTAATCTCTTAAATGATTTGGTACTATAAATATTTTATAAATTTTTATTATACTATCGTTAACAATTAATAGTACTATTATTAATATTAAGTGCCTTTTTGTAAAAATGTTAGTTTTCAATCATTGCTGAGTAAGATTATTCAGTAGCATGTAATGATCTTTGAGAAAATACTCTTAGAATAATTTTAAATTGATTATTTAATTTATTTAATAATATAATACTAAATAAACAGTGTAAGTCGTAATATATGTGATATTACACTATTTATGCGATTCAAAAATTTATTCTATATTTTATTGCTCACTGAATTACAACATAATTCTTAATAGTATTTAGTAATATATTATTCTATTTATGCTCTTATTGTAATTATTTTATTATAATTTATAAATAATAATTATAATAATTTAATTGGTTACTACTAATAAGTAGGTATGCTTATTTTTATAAATTATTTTATTTTATTATTTTTAAAGAATTAATAGTTATATTATTATTGATAATTATAATTATTTAGGAAGGAGAGGAGGTGCATAATTAATTAGAGGTTATATTTATTTAATGAAAGATTAATTATAGGTAATGGCATGGTTAGAATTAACCAAAGTTTGAGAGGGCGAAAAATAAAATTAAAAGTTTTAACACCCAAATCCTCTTTTTATAGTAGTATAGATTGTTGTTCTGACATTACTTATGTTTTTTTGTTTTTTGCTTGGACTAAAGTTTATTAGCATTCAGTTTTGATTGAAGAGAGAGATAATCTTAATGTTGATTTCCATGCATGTATCTTATAAAGTTTGTTTCTTGCTAAGTAATTTCTAATTTTTAGTCACTACATAGAGTTATTATAAAGTTGATTTATAACGTCTGGAATAATCATAATTGAAAATGTCGATGAGAAAATGGGTCAGATTCTACAGGATCAACAAGCCAATGGGACTTGAGGAATGATGGAAGGGAATAAAAAGAAAAGAGAGGGAAAGAAAATCGAAATGAAATAAAGAATAAAAGAAAAAAAAGTAAAAAATAGAAGAGCCTAGATTCCAAATGAACAAATTCAAACCCGAAAAGGATCTTTCTGATTCTCGAAGAATGAGGGGCAAATGGATTGATCGAGAAAGATCTCTTGTTCTTATTAGATTAGAAGATCGTAATTTGATCCGCATATGTTTGGTAACTGTTGGAATTGTGGATTCCATTGTTGCCTGGTCAAGACTTTTTACTATAATCAACATCTGTGGAAATTTACATTTTTTTGTCTTTCTTTTACTACTATCTATGAATATAGTAGCTTGCTGGACTCGTAAAAATCTGGAACCCTAACGTTATTTTCCCTTGAGCTAACCTGAGCACTTCAGACTTTACTAACTATGCTCTAGTAGTATAAGAAAATGCTCCCCCCCCCCCCCCCTCTTCTTTTTCTCTCTCCCTCTCCATCCATCCATCCATCTGTCCGACCAAAAAGGATGAGAACTTAACTGACTAAAATAACAAGGTAACAATGGTCATGTAACAGTTTCCATAATGTCATGTAACAGTTTCCATAGTGCTCACTTCTTTAGTTTCTCGAGCTCCTTCTCTTCTTTGAATTTGTAGTGCTGGCAATCAACCAGGAAACTTGGAGAAAAGGAAGTGTGTATTAGGTGGAAGAAAATTGGAATATGATTCATAGGGTTTGTTTGTTTACAAAGAAGATGAAAATTAGTTCTGTTTGGTAGTCGTGGTCACTTATTCTTTGTGCTTTGTTTGGTGGAAGGAATTTGAAATATGATGCATGGGAATTGTTTGTTTACAGAGAAGATGAAGTCTAGTTCTGTTTGATAGTCCTGATTATTTCTTCTTTCATTTCTTATGAAATGTTCTAAATCCAGACCAATTTAGAGTAATCATTCAGGTTGTTTGAGGTATCTCAAACTGGTATTAAACTGAAAATTATTCTTCAGTAAAAGACAGTCAAAGCAATCTGGTCTCCTGTGAAGTTAACTACTAAGCCAAATTGATTCTTTTTGTATTTGTTTGTTGTTTAAAACCATATGTTGCTACCCAACCTCCTAATTTCAATGGACATATGAGGTTACCCTTCTCAACGTTGTCATTGGAAATACCTTGAGGCATCATGCTGTTGTATAGAAGTAATTAGAGGGGATGAGAAATTAGGTTATTGGGAATGTGAGGTTCGTGTTCTCAACATTGTTATTGGAAATTTGCTAGGGTATTATTGCCTTGTAAAGCAACGTAATTGTAGGAGCTGCTCTTGCAGCTAAAGAAGATCTACTGTAAGTATTCTTATGAAGCTCTGTGAAGTATTTTTTAACTATATTTTAGTGATAATCCAAGGGGAGCAATAGGTATTTAGCTGGATCTCTTTTAGCAGCATTTAAGCTGGACTTGATAGTTTCTCACTGTACTTCTTTGTGGGGGTATCATTTGTGTACTTAACCTAATAGTTTAGGTAACATTTGTATACTTAGCTTATACATTTTGTCCCATTAGGCTGAAATCCTCAAGCTTGGAGTCCATTACTTAGTCGTCTAGTCTATCTTCGCTTAAATCTGGCTGAAGTAGATGAAGTATTGTTATGCCTTTGTTCTTATCAAAATAACAAGTCCTTTTTATGCTTAAGAATAGTTTCATTTACAGCCATGCCGCTAAATTCTCACTGTACTTCTTTGTGGGGGTATCATTTGTGTACTAAACGTACTACTTTAGGTATAATTTGTATACTTAATGTATACATTTTGTCCCATTAGGCTAAAATCCTCAAGCTTGGAGTCCATTACTTAGTCCAGTCGTCTAGTCTATCTTCGCTTAAATCTGGCTGAAGTGGATGAAGTATTGTTATGCCTTTGTTCTTATCAAAATAACAAGTCCTTTTTATGCTTTAGAATAGTTTCATTTATAGCCATGCCACTAAATTCTTGCATTGTAGATTCGTAGTGCGAGTTGTGCTGCACGCATCATAATTCTCCGTTCTTTTTATTGTTTTCTTTCTGCCATTTCTGCCTTTTTCTGCTGTTAAATTGCTCATTTCTTTTTCTACAGTGCATCAAGCTCCTCCACCTGCCCCTGTTCAGTCTGGAGGTGGTGGTATGCTCAGTGGAATCGGTTCTACTATTGCCCAAGGTACCCTCCAACTTACAACGTGATGAGTCTAACATACTAAATGAAGTTTTATTCTTTACATGGTCATTAAGTTTTGGGTTTGTGTAGGTATGGCTTTTGGTACTGGTAGCGCTGTTGCTCACAGGGCCGTTGATGCTGTTATGGGACCTCGAACTATCCAGCACGAAACTGTTCCTTCTCAAACCCCTGAAGCTACTGCTGCTCCAATGGGTAACACTGCTAGCGGCGCTGATTCTTGCAGCGTCCACAACAAAGCCTTTGCAGATGTAAGCTAGTTCTTTCGTTCTGTTGACGAAAAATTGCAATGTTATTTTTCAGTTTATATAATTTGTTTTCTGCTCTTTTATGCAGTGCATCAACCATTATGGGAGCGACATCAGCAAGTGCCAGTTCTACTTGGATATGCTAAATGAGTGCCGTCGGGGTTCGGGTGCTACTGTTCTTTAGATTTTCATACCAAATTCAGTCTACATAATGTTATGAAATCTCAGACTGCTTGATTTGATAGATTCTATGGTTTTGCAGTAGCTGGTGCTATTTACTACTACTGCTATTGGTTCTGTTATGTTTCTGTTGGAATTGCGAAACTGTTGTGGTTCTGCAGACTATTTATCCAAATCCAAATAAATCTCTAGTTTGAAACTTTATAGTCTTTGGAGATTGATTCACTTTCTATTTCAGTTCTATTGGTTTTGACTGCGGTATGATTATTGTTTATGATGTTGGAATAGTGATTTGCTTTTAATTATTTAGATCCACTTTATGAAATCTGTTTCTTGTTTGTGGGAGAAGTTTGTAGGTATTCCTGCTTGTGTCGTATTCTCGACTGTGTTGTGTTATGCTACGGGTTCCCTTGTGTTGCGGGTTCACTGGTTTCTATGTGATTTTTTCACCCAAAGGTATGGTGTGTAAGACTGAAGAAATTTTCCAAATTGCCTCAACAAATATTTTTTAAGAAATAGATCCCATTCACTTTTAATTATAGAAATCAATTCACTTTGAGTTAATTGTGGTACTAATTAGTCAGAGGGTTGGCAACCCTGACTAATTAGTAGCCTAATTACAAGCCGGGTCAAGGAGCGGGGAAGGTTTGCGGCTGCTAATTAGGCTATTAATTAGTCGGGGTTAGCAACCCCGACTAATTAGTACTGTAATTAACTCAAAGTGTGTTGATTTTTATAATTAAAAGTGAATGAGGTTACTTACTTTTAAAAAATTTCCGTTAAGGCGATTTTGAAAATTTCTTCGTGTAAGACATTGAAGTTTGTGAATCAACACGAATAATCTTGAGATTACTATTGTAATTACAAGGGTGACCCTAATAAAAGTCTTGTTGGAAAAAAGCTTTTAGGGGTTTCCGTGTTATTACTGCAGGTTATTTATGTAGATACATATGCTATAGGTTTATCTTTGGAATTACATCATACAAGGTTATCTGTATAATTACATCAGAATACGTCTATGTATAGGGTTGTAATTTTTCCTAATTTTTTTTTTCAATGAAACAGTTTATCTAAGTCTAAATTGTTGATGTAACATGTTTTATTTTGATATTTTTGAGATGCAGTAATCATTTTATATTTTCTTGAAGATACGCTTAGGTTGCTCACTGGAATGTAGTGACATGTCTAAAATTGCACCCTATTAGTATATAAATTTTATTTTGTCGAGTGTCTTAACATTAGCTACTTTTATTCTTTCATGTTTTATATTTATTATCTAATTGTGCCCTACTACAAAACATGACTATCACATGTTGTAATTCTATTTTTTAAGGAATTTTTTAAATAATAATTCAAAAATAGCTTCACGCAAATTGTGTGTAGATCATCTTTGACAAACTGGAGCTCTTCTTGGATCCCAAGAAACTCAAAAGCATCGTACTCTTTCTATAAATACGGCCTTTGTCTCTCTGTTTCTTTTATTTAGGGGATGTTTGTTTCAAAATTTTTTTGACAGTTGGGTGGGATTTCAAATTCTATGATCAAAAAATGGATTTTTTTAGGTTTTAGAATTTCATAAAAAAATGGATTTTTTTGGGTCATCAACTTTATAGTTTTTGCTGTGTATATATCTGTTCTTTCTTATGTTGACTATAGAAAGTTCTATTTCTACTATGCACATATATGGCTGGCTTTGGTTCTTCTAAAAATCTGTGTCAACGGTGAATGACGGCAAGGTCCTCTCTTCATCTTCACGGATCTTTAGAAGAAGAAAGTTATACATCACTACTAGTAGAAATTTTATTTTCTATATTCCAACATTTTTGGACACATTTCGTGTCTAAGCTTTTGTAACTAAACAATTGTTTGGATTTTTTGGTTTTTTAATGAACGGGGTTTAGCCCCTATTTTCCGATAAAAAAAAAATAAAACTTGTTTGTTTCAAAACAAATTATAGAATATCAAATCCCCAAATAATAAAAAAGTATTATATTTAAGGATTTGTGAAATCCTCTTTTTTGGGTAGGATGTGGGGTGAATTTCAAAAATGTTAGACAAATTAAGGATTTCAAATTCCAAAAAAGTTTAAAACAAAGAAAAATATTACAAATTATAGTATTCTAAATCCTAAAATATTGTTGAAACAAACAAAGTTTTAGGAATTCCAACCCATAACAAATTACATATGGATTTCAAATCCCATAGTGAAATCCATATCCTAAAATTATAGGATTTGAAACAAACACCCCCTTAACATATTCACTTTACATAAATCACTGTGTTCCTCATCATCATATTCTAATTCCACGACTCAACCTTGTTCAAAATGCCTCGAGGAAAATGTCCCTTTGTTTTTCTTCTTTTTATAGATTCTCTCTTGCATGATTTTCATTATGTTCTTCCTTTAGGGTTTTTTATTATTTACCTTTAAATATAAATATACTAGCTAATTTGATCTCTACAATTTTCTAGTAATTATCTTCCTTCACATGCTCTTTTTATTCCCTTAACTGCTTGCTTCTGTCGCGGTTGTTTGAGCTGGGCTTGCTGCTTTCGGACAACATAGCGTGTCAATCAACTTCTCATTTTCCAGTTAACTTCCTACAATTTCTTAATATGAGAAGCTGGTCGGGGGTTGAGCTCCAGTGGCAGGATCTTTTGTTATCATACCAAAGCAACATAGGTTTACTGCAACAAATTTCTAAAGCGGTTAAAAAAATATTGTTCTGTGAGCCCTTGTTTTGACCCATGACAATATTTGCCCTCAACCAGCGGGGATATGTTAGGGTATTAAATTATAACCCTCAAGTCTCAGCTATCATCATAACTTGGGAGTATGAGTGCTAAACCGTATTCGTATCCGAGAAAATATTTGTAACCGTATCCATTAGGCCGGGCCGGACCAGTTCAAGCCCGTGACCAGGCCTACCAGGTTCAAGGCCGGGCTCGAACGGGTTAGAGTGAGCTGGGCCCATTTTTCTAATCCCGGGTTTGGGAATGGACCCAGCCTGGCCGACGACCCACCTAAGTGCGGGCCAGGTCTGACTTGGCACACAGCTCGTGGGTTGGCTAATGGATTTATCTTCCAACTTTTTTCCTATTCTTTTAACTTTCTAATTATATAAAACTTGTACTTATAATTATAAATTATTTCTAATTTATTTTTTAATAATTTAAACTTGTATTAAACTATTTTTAAACTTGTATTAAATTTTTTAATCTTTCCAATTAGACAGCAACGAGCTTAAATATTGTTGCTTTGTTTTTCAATAGGCCAAAAGGCTCACGAGTTAAAGTCCTATGGTCTTTTGGTTTTGTTAGCAACTAGCTGCAGACTCAAAATGCTAAAGGAACAACTAGAGTAATAAAAAAAATATATTATAAATCGGGCTGGCCGGGAGTGGGCCGGGTCAGTGTGGGTTGACAAATAGTAGCTTCTAGAGCTTGCTTGACAAGAAAAAACTACCTCCCTGCTTGTCAAAACAAGGCTGATTAAGGGAGAATGCCATCTTTTTCATAGATAGTCTTAGTGAGAGCCTACATCTTTGACCCTGGGTTTAGGGCTGGACCTGGCCCGGCCAGTGACCCGGGTATTATCATGGGCCAGGTTAGGCCCACTACAGGTCTGGCCGGGTCATGACCCATAACAGGCTAGGCCAGGTCAGTTCGCGAGTCGACCTGGCCCACACCCAACCTTAGTATATAGTTATAAATATGGTTATGTAGTGAAATATCTGGATCCGTATTTAAAATATCTGGACACATTAGTCATATTGTTGAAGTAGTGTTTAATCTATTTATGGATTTAAAGTAATTTGATGATCCTTTTCAGATATAAGAACATATTAAATAAACTTTGATACATAAACCATAATATATAAAGTAATATATAGTATAATATATTATAATATATATATATATATACTATATATATATCATATATAATATATATTATAGTTCAATACGTATATTTTCTGCCATATCATTTTGTATCTAATAGAACATGTTTATATATCTGCATGTATATCCGTATCTGCATCCAATTTTATTGGATTTGGATATAAATTTTCCTCACCGAGGTATATTCGTATCAGTATCCGGGATGAGATATGAATATGATAATGTATCATATCCGAGCCATATCCAGACCGAATGCACCCCTACTTGAGAGTTGTGGTGTAGTGATAGAGTGCTTTCACAAACTACATTTAGAGAACATTTGCATCTTTTTTTAGTTTATTGCATACTTTTGGGAGTTTGTCGTGCCAGTACATCTTTGCCACGCCATGTTGTATACTTGTGATTACTTCTCCCATCAAGCAGTCAAAAGTCTACTTCCTTTTATTTTTCAAGAAATTTACTAATTAAAACTCTTTTTTTTTTTGGTGGTGCGCAGATGGCTATGGACTTGATGGTTTTCCCCTTGAAAAAGGGCACCGTTCGACCCGGGGATCAATTTAGCATGGTAAGGAGTTATGCAAACAGGATTAAGAGAAAATTCCACATTCAACCTGCAATTTTCTATTTCCATGTTAGCAACCATAATTATATTTTTGTTTAACATGGTAAGGATTGGTACTGGAATTGCTCTCAGCCACAGGGTTCTTAATGCCCTCATGTGTCCTCTTACTACTCACAATAAAACCCTGGTTTCTAAAGAACCAGAACCTGCCTCTACTGTTAGTGGCGCTGTCGGTCCTGATGCATGCGCTGCATCTTCAAAGCTTTTGCAAAATGTAAGTCCATTGCCTTATATGTAGATGTACAAATCTCACTCTAGCTTCTCCGGAGTATAGATACACATATCTCATAGATACTTGTAAAAATTAATACGATACAGGTACATATATAGATATCTGAGTATCCATATGATGCGATGGACCTGAATATATGCAGAGTTCTTTACCGAGCCATGTCCATACTTGTGTTCATATTTGTGATTAGTAAGGAATAAATCCCGTATCTTATGTGTATCTGGTTTGTTTGCTCTGACTTTCAGGGCTCCAGATTTCGATGCTTGAATCTTTTCCTTCGGTGTGAACAGAATATGGACTAGGCACTAAACAATATGATCAAATTAGCTTTCCCCACCTTTTTTTTTCTAGTTTACTGTGTAAACTCTATAACAATTTTTTTGACCAGTCCCTTTTTTTTTCCCGGTGTAGTGTATGGACAACTATAGTAGCGAGATCAGCAAATGCCAG